AAAAAAAAAAAAAAAAATGTAAAATAGGGTTACCTCTGGAGTGGGAGGAAGAAAAGATGTAGTATTTAGGGAAAGGCATATCGGAAGCTTCAAATGTAAAGATAATATTCTATTTCTTAAATGGGGTAAGAAGCACACAAGTATTTGTGGTATTTTATTCTGTATATTCAACAAATATTTCATAAATATATCTTTGCATTTACTCAATATTTATAAAACCATAAAGGAAGGAAGGAAGGAAGGGAGGGAGGGAGGAAGGAAGGAAGGAAGGGAAAGAGGGAGGGAGGGAGGAAGGAGGGAAGGTTGGAATGGAAAGATATAATAAACACAAAATTCAGCAAAAGATTTACTTTTGAGTTAGGACGGGAGTAATGGGTGAGGGTTAGAATAATTCCATTTACTTGTGATATGTACTTGCAGCTCAGGAATGCAGAGTACAAGACTCCTCAAAGACCCCATATCAGTGACCACTCTCCCAGCTCATCTAGAATGGCTTTTCATGCATTATCCATCCAAATAAATAAAAACTTCAATTCTCAAAACTATTTGTCTCTGGGATGAGTTTAAAACCCAAAAATGGAACGTTCTACTTGTTCCTCTTTGTAGTCCTGCCACAGCAATCCTATTCATTGCTGAAGCAATTGCCTCCTACACAGATATTTCCACAGAAGAGTGTGCCATAAATGGTCCGTTGGTACTCAGCAACTTTTTAGGGCCTTTCAATAAATCTATTCTGGGTAGGTTCAGGCAGAGAACTCACCAACCTACAAACCAAGGATATGGATAGACAGACAGAGAGACATATATTCATCTCAATAGCCTTTAATTAAATAAGCTATAAAATAACAACATGCACTTCAGGCTAAGTTTTACGGGATGTTTTCCTTGTGAAGAATATAAAATACAATTTAAATGCATATGCAAGGCAGCATCTAATTGAAACAGAAATTATTTTTCTTCAGCCTTCAATAAGGGTTTCTATTAATAAGTATCTGAGAAAACTTATCCGATGACTTAAATGTCACATTAGCATTTTATGAAATTCAGAGAAAAATGAAAATGTGGATCAACATATGTTGTGAGTTCTTTGCCAAAACATGTAGCATGGCAACTGTCCCCTTCACTTTCCTATCCTTCCTGGCTGCTCTAGGTGACATGGTGACTCCTCAGGGCTGCCCCCAGCTACAGCACGCGGGGACCTGCAGAATCATGACGCAAGGGTTTTCGGACATTGCACAGTCACGCACGGCCCAGGCGGAAAACATTACCGTATTTCTTTCTCCCCAAGCTCTTGTCCACCGTACTCTCTGACAGAGACCTCCTGTTGCCGAGGAAGACCCCATTAAAGAAGCACTGCTTTCCAACATGGTAGGTGTGGATATTGCTGCTAAACCTCGGGTAAAATGTCCACTCCGGACGCTGCCCATCTTCTGCAAGGCATGAGAAATCCTTCCATTAGTGCCGCTCCCAGCTTCATAATGCGATTGGATGACAAAAAGCTGTGAAAACTCCCCAGGCGCTATCTGGCTGTACCACCTTTAATCAATCTGTATAATTCCTTGGTTCTACATCGGGGCAGTGTCAACCTCTGTGGGACTAGGCACAAAAGGAAGAGAAGTGGGGGGAAGCCACCTAAGAAGCTGCATTTTCCCCCCTCTTTAATCTCTCCTTCAAAAATAAAGCCAACTTTATGTTTGGAAGTTATGTATGGGTTGGGAAGCTCAAAGACAGTCTTGCAAGCATCTATCTCTGATAACTACATAGGAAAAATAGAATGCCCATCAACCAGGGAATGGCTAGCCAACCACGGCATCTCAAGTGGATGGAACATAGTGTCAGCTGCAATAGCACGCACATGTGCTACACTGACACCGGGAAATGTACACACGCAGTAACATCAAACGAGAAAAGCTACCGTCAGACCTCAGGCTAGTTACTGGACCTCTCAGTGCCTCTGTTTCATCATTTGATACTTGTCCTCTAAGATTGCTAATGGTGATTTTAAACAATAAAATGTCCCCAAGCAGTTCTAGGATTGCTTGAGAAACACTTGGGCTCTGGGCTAGCCAAGAAAGAACACAAGCTTTGGAGGCAGGCAAGTTTGGGTTCTAATCACATTGCTCTACTTCCTGGCTATGTGGCTGTATGGGTGACTGAATCTCTCCAAGCCTCAGTTTCCTTCTCTATAAAATGGGTAGGTATATATTAGCCACATAGATCTATATGTATTGACACAGAAAGAAGTCCATGGTCTATTTACTGCTGATTGAAAAGAGTCTGTATACTACGACCCATTTATTTTATATCGGTATATGTATAAATGTGTATATATGTACACACACATATACATTTCAAAATTCTGGAAAAATATATATCAACTCTTCACAGCTATACAGTAGAATAGGGATACTGTTGGAGAATATTGAGGAATGAGTTTTTATACTCTGTACACTTCCATATTATTTTAATATTTTGCTGCAGTACTTTAACAGGTTTTATATAAAGGCATTTCATTTTTGAGAAACGTGTAACAATAGCTCCCCCGCAGAGTTGCTGAGAGAAGTAGAGATAAAGCATGTCAAATGCCTGGCACTCGGGGGCTTCAGTGACTGTGACCACAGTATGGCAGACTTCTGAAACGGCCCTGCGCACAGAGGCGCGTGGAGGAGGGTCTATGACTTACTTGTCAGCAACCTAAGCAGGCTGAATTCCTTGGGATAGTTATCCTTTTGGACTTCAGGCAATGAGGTTTCAGAGGAGTGATCAGAATGTGAGGAGGAGGATTTCTGATCCAAATCTGTAACAGTGCTGGAAAGAAAAGAATTAGATTTTTCCATGTGCTTAAATCGGTAGTTAGAAACTAATCTTGCATATCTTATGTTAGAAGTGCTCTCACTTATGAGAACTGGGACAACTCCTCTATGAAAGTCCCTGAGCATATCATTTATTTTTCCACAATTTGAGGGGACTGAAATTCATATTTTAGAAATACATGTTTAAAAACAATTTGGTGGTTCCTCAAAAAGTTGAACATAGAATTACCATAAGACCCAGCAATTCTACTCCGAGGTATATACCCAAAAGAATTGAAAACAGAGGTTCAAACAGATATTTGTGTGGGAATGTTCATTGCAGCATTATTCATAATAACCAGAAAGTGAAAACAACCCATCAACAGACAAATGGATATGCAAAATATGGTATACACATATAATGTGATATCATTCAGCATAAAAGGAAATGAAGATCAAAGACATGCTACAGCATGGATGACCCTTGAAAACATTATGCTAAGCAAAACGAGACAGATACAAAAAAACAAATATCGTATGCTTCCACTTAAATGAAATATCTAGAATAGGTAAATTCATAGAGACAGAAAGTAGATTAGATGTTACCAGGGGCTGGGGAGAGAGGAGAATATTGAGTTATTGCTTAATGGGTAGAGAATTTCTGTTTGGAGTGATGAAAATCTTCTGAAAATAGATGGTGGTTATGGTTGCACAATATTATGAGTGTAGGTAATGCCACAGAATTGTACACTTAAAAATGGACAAAATGGCAAATGTTATGCTATATATATTTTACCACAATTGTTAAAAAGGAATGATATACTGATATTTGTTACAACACGGATAAACCTTGAAAGCATTATGCCAGGCGAAAGAAGCCAGACACCAAAGACTGCATATTGATAATTCCATGAATATGAAATGTCCATAACAGGCACATCTAGAGAGGAAAAAAGTAGATTATTGGGTGTCTCAGGCTAAGGGAACAAGGGAAATGGGGAGTGATTGCTAAAGGGTATGGATTTCTTCCTGTGGTGATGAAAATGTCCTAAAATTGATTGTGGTGATAGCTGCACAACTCCGCGAATACACTAAAAGTCGTGGAGTTGTACACTTTAAATGGATGAACTGTATGATATGTGAATTAATTTTCAATAAATTTGTTGCCAAAAAAAGATGCATGTTCAATAAAACCATTAAATGCAAATAAAAAGTCAGTAAGAATATAGAGAAAGAAATAATCAAAAACAAACCCAGACTGAAACGGTTATAACAGGGGAGTGTCGTAATGGGGGAGAGTTGTGTTTCGTGCAGCATTTCCTAGCAGTTAAAAAGGCTATAACAAACTGCTGCGGGTGTCAGCAGAAAAAGCAATCACTTCTGGTTTCAATGGCTTTGCATTTGATAGATGGCCTTGGGCAATGTCTTCAGGTATAGTTATCTGTTATCAAGCCACAGGATCTTTTTTTCATAATGTTGCATCACTCTTATATTTGAATAGTTTCAAAGCAATTTCATACTGTTTGCCTTGATTGTTCCCTAACAATCCTGTCATGTAGGTAGGGCCCATAATCAACATTTCCATTTGAAAAGGAAACGGGATCTCAGGGAAGTTGACTTTCTACAACAAAAAGTTTTCTTCACACCTACACAGGGTCAGAGCTGGATCTGCAGCCCAGGTCTCCTAACTCTAGACTATGTGGCCTAAAAATCAAAAAGAGCCCTAGCTCAATAACTCAGCACCCCCCTGTTCAGAATATATGATCATTTTGACATTGGAATAAAATATGTCTCTCCTAAATATGAGGGGGAAAAGGCTTTGCTGAACAAACTGTGTGGAAAAGATTGCAAGGATAAAGGTAATTTTCCAAAAGAACTTTAGAAGTGTCCACCCACTTCATTTATTCAACAAACATTTATATGAGTACATTTTGTGGCAGGCACTGTTCTAGACATTGAGGACCCAAAGATGATTCAACACAGTTCCTGCCCTGAAGGGTCGAGGGGTAGAGGAGATGGAAACATGCACAGATGACTGTGGAAGAGTGGGTAAATGTGATAGCAACCTTTCCAGGAAACACATGGAGCGCCCAGAAAGGACACCTAATGTAATTAGGTTTGAGGGGGTATGTTTGAAAAGAGTTTATGGAGGAGGCTCACCTGAGCTGAGTCTCAGGAGACAAATGTAAATTTGCCACGTATATTAATCAAGGTGGAAATGACAGAAATCCAACTCAAACCATGTTTAAACAATTACAGGGATGTATCGGTTTCCACGATAAGGGTATAGCTGGGGACAACTGGAATCAGAGCTCAACATCTCCGGAACTATTGCTCTCCCCTGTTGGTCCCTGCCTGTCCTGACATCTTGGCTTTGCTTTTACCAATTGTAGATGAGCTTCATCACGAGAGCAACAAGGCCACTGACAGTCTCAGATTCAAATTCTCACAGTCTTCCAACCAATCTTAACCCCCATCTCCAAGGTGAAAAATCTCTGGGAAGGCTCTCATTGGTTCACCTTGAATCACGTGCCCTCCCTAAAATCAGTCACCCTCAAGAAGTGGTGTCATGTAAGAAGATGGTAGCTCCCATTCAGAACACTCATTAACACTGGATAGGGAAGGTAAGAAAAACAGTTCTCCAGAAAAGGGGGCATAGCAGAGACGAGCCACTAGGGAAGTCAGTGGGAGCTGAGCAGCTCCTACAACGTGAACACAAGCCAGTGCATTAGGGGAAGCCACTTCAGGCAAAAAAGACAGCATGAGCTTCCTTCCACAGAAGGAAGAAACAGCAGGGAAATGAAGAATTTGATGTGGTTGTGGCAGGACTATTGGAACAAAGGCTGGAGAAGAGGAGGAAGACAGATCTGGAGAACTTGCAGTTCCTGTGAGAGGGCTTGGACTCTTCTTTATCACACTTTCATGAGGTAGCATTAAATAACAGTAGGCAAGGACATGACTTGGTCACATACGGTCCAATTTCTGTTTTAGAAAACTCTGGAAGCTGTAAGAGGAATGGACTTCAAGAATATAAGACTAAATCCTACTGGCAGCACGTATTTTAAAAATAAATAAATAAAAGTTTTAAAAAAGAATATAAGACGTAAGTCAGGGAGCCCAGTTAGGGGAGTGTAGTAGGCAGTCTCTGACGCGGCCACCAATGATCCCTGCCTCTTGGTATTTATTCCCTCTGTAATCTCCTCCCAGTGAGCATAGACTGGACCTAGTGACTCTAACAAACATGTGGCAAACTTGTAACAAACAGAATAAGCAAAAGTGATGGGATGTCACTTCCAAGATTAGGTTACAAAGAGACTGTGGCTTTATCTTCTGTACACTCTTCCTTGCTTGCTGAGGAGAGCCACCTGCCATGTCATGAGATGTCTGTCCTACATGGAGGCAAGGAACTGAAGGAAGCCTCTGGGCAGCAGCCACTGTGGAACTGGGCCGTCAGCCCCACCAGCCTGTGAGGACCTGAATCCTGCCACCGACCATGTGAGTAAGATTGGAAGTGGATCCTCCCCCAGTTGAGCCTTCAGATGAGCCCAAGCCCTGGCCAACATCTTGACTGCAATCTCATGAGAGAGACCTTGAGCCATAGGAACCCATCTAAGTCACACTCAGATTCCCGACCCACAGAAAACATGAGTTAATATATGTTCGTTGTTTTAAGCCACTCAGTTTTAGGGGATTTGCAGCAGTGGATAACTAATATTGAGGGTATTACAGAGGACCAGGCAAGAGATGATCAGACCCTAGAATGGGACAGTGGTACTACAGGTAGAGTGGAAGGGATGGACTTCCAAGATATTTTAGAACTCGAATCGCCAGTTGGATGAATGGGAGGAGATGAGTATGACCTGGGGGTCTATACCCTTGGGACTGCATTAACACTGAGACTATCAGCTGAGACAAGGGATACAGGAGGATCTAGTTTGTGGGAAGGGGTAATGATAAGTTCAGTCAAGGCATGTTGAGTCTGAGAGGTGTGTGACATCAGATGGAGATATCTAGAAAGCAGTTAAATATATAAATTTGAAGCTTGGGGTTATGTCTAGGCTGGAGTTTTATATTCAGGTATATACATGAAGTATTATCACCATTTTATAGGTAAGAACCCTGAGGCCCAGGGAGGTGAAGTAATTTGCTCAAGTTCACACAGATACTAAGTAGCAGAGCTGGGATTTGAACCCAGAAGTCCAGAATCCATGCTCTTGCCAAGCATGTCATGCTACCTCTCAGACTATTGTCTTCTTGGTCAGAATTTCCCCCAATAGCGACAGGTCTTCAGCAGACACTTACTCTAGGTGAGCAGACAGGCTGGGGAGGCCTAGAGGTTCACTGACACTTGGACTCGTTTCAACAGAAGATGAGAAACTGACCCTTCTGCCAAAGGATGTTGAATTGGCAAAGCATCCCTTAGATTCCAGAAAATCGCTTTGTTTAGCACTTGCAATGCATAGATATTACCATTTAATTACAATATTGAAAATACCTTCCTCTCTATCTTGCTTCTTAGATTATAAACATATGTTTTCTAAAAAGAGCTAACATTTGTTGAGGATTTACTGAGTACTGGGGATTATGTTAACACTTTATGCCCATTATCCCATTTAATCCCTATAACAACCCATAGACATAGATACTACTTATCATCCCCACTTTACAGACAGGGAAATGGAAGCTCAGAAGGTCAGCAACATGCATATGATTACACAGAAAATAAACATCTAGGCCCATATTTGATCACAGTTCTTGTGACACCAAAGCCCGAAATCCTAACCACTATATTAGCCTGCTTACCCATAGACACAGTTCACCTACTCTGAACTAAGTGGAAGACATAAGGTTTGAATCGAGCTATATATCACATTGTACTGAGCACCTCAATACAATTTTCCAGAGGATTTGTTCATAGAAAGACTGATGAATATAGCTGGTGATCACAACCCAAAGAACTGCCTTCAGAAACTTCCAGGCATTCCTCTTATACTTCCTATTCATCTTAGTAGCATTTACAACAGTGACTGGCACAAAGTAGGTGCTCAATAAATATTTGAGTGACTAAATGAAAAAGAATTATAACTCCCAACCACCCACAAGTAAGGGAGTCCTGAAAGCCAATGTCAGATAAAGAAGTGCACCTATTTTACTCTGCTATACAATTAATACTTCGCAAAAGTCAATCTGTTCTCTTATTATTTTGTAGAGTTGTGTGTTTTGCCCAGCCACACAAAAAAACGCATCAGTCGAATAGATATTGCATTTCTTTATGCATAACTTCACAGAGCACAGATGCTCAATAGACACAGTGTAACCTCTGGTTATAAGAAAATTATAAGAAATAAGAGTCAGATTTCTATGACTCTTTGGTACATTTTTAGACTGACCACTATTCCACCTACATAGTATCTTGCCTCACAGTTGTCCCTCACTTTCTGCAGGGGATTGGTTCCAGGACCCCCTAAATACCAAAATCTGCAGATGCTCAATTCCCTTATGTAAAACAGAGTAGTATTTGCATATAACCTATGTACATGCTCCTGTGTACTGTACTTTAAATCATCTCTAGGTTATTGATAATACCTGAAACAATGTCAATGATATATAAATAGCTGTTATATTGTTTTTAATTTGTATTTTTATTGTTGTATTGTTATTTTTTAGTGTTGTTTTCTTTTCAAATATTTTCCATCCATGGTTGGTTGAATCTGTGGACACAGAACTAATGGATATGACTGAATGGTGTAAGCCATGTGCCCTGTGCAAATCCCCACCACCTGTCCGCAGGACTGCCACTTAGACAATTTTGTACTCGTTTCCTCCCAAATTCATACGGCAAGTGAATCATATCTTTTCCACTCTTGTCAA